GAGACGGTTTTACAGAAAATGGTTATTTTCGTAACGTCAGCATGTTGCGATCGTTCCCATAAAAAAAAAAGAAAAAAGTGAAAAAATACAAAAAAACGAGAACGAAAATAAATATATACATCTACCTATGGTATAAAATATACACAACGACGTTTGATATTTTATTAGATTATTCTTTTGAAAAAGCTTTTCGTAGAGTGTATTTAAAAAAAAGAAATAAAAAAAAATAAAAAAAAATAAAAATAAAAAAAAGAAATATTCGTCGATGTTCGTTATCTGTCACATTATGTCAATTTAAAAGTAAATGTCTGTTAAGTTCTTGGAAAAGATGAAAGTCTTAACGAACTTCCTCGGGTAAGCTTCCAGACACTGTTAAAAGGTTAAAACCAATTCAGTGAATTTTCTTTTTCCCCCCTTCTACTCTTCCTATCTTTTACTCTCTTTTCCAACCTAAAAAAAAAAAGATAGAAAAAATAAAAAGAAGATTCTTATAAGAAATTAAAACAAAATTCTTCAACTTGTTCATAACTTCCATTCTCTCCATTAAGATAGTCTAATAACTTTGAAAAGTCTTTCCCAACGTACCTTACCACTTTCGTCTAATAAATTATGATAAAACGTTATTAAATATTGCAAAGTTTTTTCGATATATTTTTTTCTTTTTAATCTATTTACACCTTTGTGCACACAAAAAATAGCTAATTTTTTTAATAATTTATTTCAAAAGATTAAACGAAGAAAGAGAAAATATCAAATCTTGTAGACATATTTTTTTGTTCGTTTTATTTATTATAAATATGAATTTTTACATTTTATTAAATAAATTTTATACACGTTATACGTGTCATATGTCATATCACGTATCAATATTACACAAATTTCCATCATGAAATGTAGTAACATGTAACAAATTAGACAAGTTAGGGGAAGATCTCGGATAAGTTTCATACGCTAAAACATCCCTTTACCTATCTTCTTCTCTACCTCAGATCGTGAAGCCATTAATCTCGATCTTTAGTAATAACCAAATCCATCTTAATACGTCGAACGAAATCCATTTCGTAGCAAATAAGGAATATAGGGATTTTGACCTAAATTTTCTTCTAGAAAGGTACGTCTCTGAGAGAAGAGAAGAAGAGAGAGAGAAAACTTACTAAAACTTTATTCACAAGATTTTCGATAATCGCTAACGAGAAAACGAAAGATAGATAATTAATTAAAAGAAAGAGAAGAAAAAGAAGTAAATGAAGAAAATATATACTAGAATATATATATATTACAGTAGAATATATATATATATATATATATATATATATATTTACTCGAAAGATAAGATTAGAAAAGGAACCAAGTTGTAAAGACGATTAATTACGATTTCACGTGTAATTATTTATCGAAAGACAAGGAAAGTGAATAATTAGAATTAAATGGTGGATACCTGAAGTTTTGACGAAAATTAGCTCCTACGTGATAATTGGATAATCAAGCTTTCGACGAAACTGACACGACGTTTGTATAGAATGTTTCTTGATATATGTAGATGTAGGTGCGTACGTGTAAGCACTTAAGCAGCTTTTAAGATCTCGTTAATTAAGAAAAAGCTTCTAAAGCATTGAGAGAAAGAGAGAGAGAGAGAGAGAGAGAGAGTTAGGGAAGGTCAAGTGTCCTCCTCACATTCCTTTCAGTATAATTCACGCGCTATAGCAGAAACTTGACGAACGAATCTCGACATTTTTTTTCTTCTTCTTCTTCTTCTTTTTCTTCGTTGTACAACAAAAAAAAGTGAAATAGAAAAGAAAAGACAAAAAAAGAAATTGTAGGAAACATAGGAAGGAAAAAGAAAATTACGATAGAAATTTTTCATCTCGCAAATTCGCTTACTCGTTTTATGTTTTTTTTCTCTCTCTCTTTCTTTTTTTTTCATTTCCTCCCTTAATTCGACGCAGGGGTTCTACGTACGGGTTGGGTAGAAATTAATTCGTATACGTCAGTGTTGCGTAATTTGAAAAACAAATTGCGACAATTTGGAATGCAAAGAAGAAAGAGAGAAAATTGCACCCTCGAATAGTTGAAATATCGTTAAACGACGATGATAATTCGAATTAAATTGTATTTTCGAAACGACCAGAGCCATATCGTATCTATCTATCCTCTGCTAACCTTCCTTTTTCCTTTCCCTTTTTTCCCCAACCCCATAGAAAATTCATTAAGCTGGCAAAACGACCGACATATTGTCGCCATTTTCGACGATGCACATTCGCGAACGAATTCATATGCTACTTTCACGTTTCGTATTTTGAGTGTATTGTTTTTCTCTCTTTTTTTTTTGCTTGTTCATACCTCCCTCCCTCCCTCCCTCCTCCACCACCACCACCCTTAAACGTTCTCGATGATTTTTATTCGTTATATTTTTACGTTTATGCTTTTTTTTATTTTTATTTGACTATTACGTATCTTTTTTGTTTGTTATTTTGGCAAAAGTTAAACTTTTAGCTTTCATAACTCGTTGACAATTTTGTAGAAGCTTTCAACACGAACGTCCGTTCAAATATATCCCATTAACGCACCGCCGGTCTTCTATTTTAAGCGACGACTCGAGCGTGTAACTTGTAAGCGCTCGCTTTTCACGTGGCACAAATTACCGCGACGAGGCATACTCGTTTACTTGATTCTGTGTATGTGTGTTGTTGTTGTTGGTTGTTGTTGCAATATATTCTCGAGATTTAGTCAACACGGTGTCCAACGCGTCGCGTTTCAACCAACATTCGTGTTACGGCATAACACAACACTAACATACAATGTGAACGTACGAACGTCATTCGTGTCAAGCTTCTCGGACCCACTAAAACTTAATGTATACATAAGTATATATATATATATATATATATATATATATATATATATATNCAGATATTACTGTAATATGATTTTTTTCTCTCTCTCTTTCTCTTTTCTTCTATCTCATTATTTCTCTCTCTCTCTCTCTCTCTCTCTCTCTCTCTCTTGGTTCAGGATGTCTCAAGAATGAATAAATTATGAAATTTGTAGATTATACATATCATATATATATATATATATATATATATATATATATATATATATATTTAAATATATACATATATATATGGTGTTTCATTTTCTATTGGAATCTAATGGTATTACAAAACTAATATTAAATTGTAATAGAATATTTGTTGGTTGCATGTATTTTGTACAAGACTTTAGTTGTTGTTTGTCCAGATGCAAAAGTTAAAATTGATTTTTTTGTTTCTAATCATTTTATCAATAATTCAAGAATATTAATAAATGTTTATTCGATATTTCGCTTGAATTTGTGTAAAACACAATGATACACACGATATTTTTGAATTACACTATAATTTTGTTTGATATGACAGAATAATCGTTTAAAACGAGACACCAGGTATATTGGTATATAAATATACAATAAGATGCAATGTAACAAAAGTTAATTCTCATTTTTGGCGCCGTTGAGAATAAGCATTCTTCCTCGTTGTCAGTTTGGAATTGCATTAATGTCTCTTAGGAATTCTGCTAATTGTGAAAAGGTATTTCGGATCTTACCGAAATTAATATTAAATGTTTTATCAATAAATTCTTAATGTCGTATAGTTTCAATCTTTTATAGAATAACATCAAAATAATATTATTATATCTCGTGATTATAAATTCAAATTATTCTCATAATTAAATTTATTATTTGAACTTTCGTGATAACTTGTCATAATATTAAACGATATGCAACGATGGTGCATGACGACTGTTGTTAATTGAATTTCAATAAGAAAATATTTTGATTAGTGTTGTGATCTGATGGATAATAACAAAGGAAGTATCTTTTTTTCATCATCGAAATTTTAACATAAAAAAAAGAAAAAAGAGAATGAAAGAGAGAGAGAGAGAGAGAGAGAGAGAGAGATAAACTTATAAGGAGCAAATGAAAGAAGAAAAAGAGTATTAAGACCACCACGAGATCTTCCTCGAAGACTGCTTCGACCCAGTTTCGCATCGATATCAATTAATTTCTCGATGCTACCGGGTCATCGCTAAAGGCGGGCCTTTCAGATTAAATGTTCACGCTTACGAAGAAATAATATATCACAGATAAGGTTCATCTCATTTATTTTCTTTTTTTTTTATTTACTTATTATTATTATGTTTTTTTTATTAAATATATTATCATGCCTTATAAATAAATAGTCGATAATATTCCTGTCTTCCGAGTGAATATCTCCTATTGAATGCGATATCTTTATAATAATTATTATTATTAAATTGGCTTCTTTTTTCATTCGTTTTTTCCCCATCTGGTTGATGACAGTGATATCTCAATAAAAAATTTGCAACTATTTCTTATTCAAATATTTCTTATCATTTTTTTCTACGAATATAAATCATTGATTAATAAATGTTAATAACGATTAGTGTAAAAATTATTAATAAGATTGATCACATCTGTCATTCTGTCAGTTATCCATACTTTTTATTCGTCCTATTAATTTGAATACATTTTTTTAAATTTTTTTTCTACAAAATATCTAACTAACAATACGATATTATTTTATATATTGTAATAAGTTTCATATATGAAAACCTACGTACGAAAGAAAGAGGTACAAATATGAGATAGTATATAGATAACAGAGTAAAGAAAAAGAATCATGATTTGCAATGGTGGTCATTAATCACGTGTGTGCGAACACATCGTCCAATTTTCCCAGAAATAAGTCGAAACGATGCAGGTTGAAAACAGAGGTGATCAATCTCGTTCAGTCAGACTCGTACGAAAGCATGGACTTCACCCTTAATTAGGATTAATCGTTACTCTCGATAATATATATATATATATATATGTGGGTGTGTATAATACCTGCGTAGGTAGACACATAAAGAATGGCACCGTAATATATATATAATCCTATCGATTTTATCTTTTATTTTATGTTATTTATTTTCATGATTTTTCTTTTTTATTTCAGACATCAATTTTATTTACACTCTCGCCTGGAATTGGTCGAAGGAAGGTTAAAGGTACCTGATTGGGTATCGATAGCTCGTTTGATGGCTCTAATAGCTCAAGCAGACGGTGGCGATTACGATGCCTTGTCTCCACCGCATGCCCTTTATTCGCAATGCTGTCAGATACAACCAACTGAACCTTGCGAACCCAAGCCTCAGGACTTTCTGCATCGGATAGTTCAACAGCATAAGGAAATCAAGGTAAGGTGAATTTTTTCTTTTACAATCATTTTTTTTTATTTTATATTAACTCTTCAACTATTCTATTAAATAAATATAAATATAATAATAATAATAATAATAATAATAATAATAATAATAATAATAATAATAATAATAATAATAATAANAATACACTACAATAGTGTTTTTTGACAACATAAAATATATATTATTAAATAAATTTAATTATATATATAAATATATATTCTATTAAATAAATATAAATATAATAATAATAATAATAATAATAATAATAATAATAATAATAATAATAATAATAATAATAATAATAATTAGGATTCATTTATTCCCATTAATTGATTTATTTACACTAGTGCAATTCATAACGGAATTTGTTGTCAAAGAACTGCAAAAATGTAAAACGTAAAAATGTTCTGCAGTTGAACGGGACAACGCAACTTGACATACGCGGACAATATTAGTTTGGTAGGGGACAATAAAGAGATAATAATTGATTTATTTTTTTTTTTTAACAGGGTATGAAAACTTCGACAGCGGAATATTGGCTTCTTAAGGAAATATCAAATTTGGATACTTTTGGTCAAGAAATGTTTCATAGTAAATTTGGATATAATGGAATTTCTACGATTGGTGTTGGACCTCACGGTATTACGGTTTATCGTGGTCAAGATGAGGAAACGCAGAAGTAAGTGTTCTTTTACTATATATATATAAAAAATGAGAAAAATACTTAAGATTCGTATCTTGACACTTTACAGTATACCATACACGGCTATCCAAAGTGCTACATCTCAACGACGAATGTTCCATTTGGTTTATCTATCTCTCGACGGTGAAGAGACCTCGTTGGATTTCAAATTAGACTCAAGCCAATCGGCCACCGGTCTTTACAGGGCAATCACCGAGAAACACGCATTTTATAGTTGCGAAACTGTTAGAAGTGCGGTCACCGCACAATTCATCCGCGACTTGAAGGTATTTATCAGTTAATTTATTATTCTTTCAATGGGAGGGGGAAAATAGAAAAAGTAGAAAAGGGAAAGAAAGAGAAAGATGTGCTTTTTGGTGTTAGAGGGGAAGAAAGTCTAAGGGAATTGCCTTAACTATAGAACGATTTCAGTGAAAAAGTGAAATTCTCCTCGAAGGAGCTCGTCTGCGAAACGACCCTACTTTCTTTTCTTTCTTTTCTTTCTTTCTTTCTTTCTTTCTTCCCCCCCCCATTTCTTTCTTTCTCTTCTCTTTTCTACTTTAAGTTCTCTTTCTTTTTTTTTTGTTCTCTAGGGAACGATAATCTCTATTTTCAACGAGGACTCGACGCTAGGCAAGAAGTACGTCTTCGACATACGAAGAACTTGCAGGGAGGTTTACGATAATGCTCGACGTGCGCTCTATTGCGAGTCCGCGAGTATAACACCACCTGAGGAAAAAGAGATCTTGGGAAGGCATGATTGCGCCGATTGTGAAAATCCCAAGTGCAAGGTAAACCCTTTCTCTTTATTCTATTATATATTTTATATATATATAATATAATAGAATATTTTTAACATATATATTACATTATATTGTATCTTTTTTATTTCACCGATAAAACTTATTTGATTTAATCGTATATTTAACAGGTAAAAATATGTGTATTAGAAGATGGTTCAAAAGTTATTTCTTTTTTGCTTTTTTTTACTAAATTTATAATATGTATATTATTTGTTATTTTTTATTTCCATTTTATTAACCTTTTTTTATTATAATAGAATAATATGTTAATAATCATAGAAAGATAAGTGTTCTTACTTTATTCGTATCTTGGGATCATCGTCGTAGGATCTATAAAGTAAAGTATTTTTTTTTTTTTATGTATTGTACAGAACTTACAATTGTCTTTTTACTTTCCTTTTTATGGGGTTCGAGTCATTTCTCTACTAACATCTTCTTATACTTATTCAAAGGTCGTATTTTTTTTTATCTCCAGACGAGTTTATCCACCTCTGTTACTAGATTGGATACACAATTTATTAAGATAAATTAAAATGAAATAAAATAAAAGAAAATAAATCGGTGCGTTGACATAATAAAAACTTCTTACTTTTCTGACATAATAAAAAACAAAACAAAAAATAATACTCACAAATATTGTAGTACAACAGTAGATTCACTTTCCAATTGAAATCCGGATAATGAAAAGATTTATTACAATTAACAAATTTTATCGAATTAATAAATATATACTTTTAAAAAATACTTACAAACAAACTTATATATATATAATCTCAAGTACCTAAAAACATTTTAAAAGTTTTTGAGCTTATTTTATTAGAAAAGTTTTGTCACTGATAAATTTTGTCTCTGTACACAGTTCAGGAAAATTTAATTAATAATATAAATATATTTGTGTATATAGATAATTATTAATAATTAATAAAATATAAACAAAATATAATATGTTAAATTTATCTTAATACTATCATGTTCCAGTGATTTATGATAATTTACACTTTTATTTATATTTGACGACTTTATTATATCGCACTTTCCTAAAGGTATGCGCGCGCAGCTTTCTATTTACCCGCGCGAAAAGTAGTACAATTTTAAAAAATGTTACGCAAAGTAAAATTAATAGATAAATAAAAAGATCTTTTAAAATGATTTAATAAAATATAAAAAATTAGAGATAATAAAGTGACCGTAAATAGGATATATGTATTATATATATATATATATATATATATAAAATAAATATAATATAATATAATAAAAAATATAATATAATATAAAAAAAATATTATATATATAAAATAAAATGAAATAAAATAAATGATTTTAGGAATCTCGGGAGTGCCTTGCAAGATTGTTGGATGCCATGCTGTGCCGAATTTGCATGGATCGTAGCCTGGACACTGCCCTTTTCCCGTGCGGACACGCAGTAGCCTGTTTGGATTGTGCTCGACGATGCGAACGTTGTCCGCTTTGCAGGGCGGATATTGATCACTGTCGAACTATCTATCTTCCGATAGAGTTAACGCATATCGATAGACACAGTCCAAAGTAGCTTGCTACCAGAAACGATCGAACCTCGTGTTCGCCGTTAAATCCTCCACCTACTCCTCGAACGAGGATCAAAGGGAGGATCGTGGGAAACTAGATGAACAGGAAATCACGTCTGAAGAAAAAGAGAGAGAGAGAGAGAGAGAGAGATCTACCAAAGTGAAATTCAAGCGAATAGTAAGGAGGAGGGTCATCTTTCAACGATAAATCCATGATGGCAGGATCTTGTTAGATGTTAGAGATCGATCCTTGTCTTTCGATTATTTTTCAAAAGGAAGAATATTACAAAAAAAAAAAAAAAAGAAAAGAAAAAAGAAAAAGAGGCGTCCAGTCTGTACAAAAAAAAAAATCACTTTTGTTATCCTGCATTTTTACTAAATTTAACAAAAATATGGAATTGTCAGGCTTCGATTAGGATTTATAACATATATATATTTATATAAATAGACATATAAATATAATATAATATATTTTAAGTAAAAAAAATTAAGTTTATAGTTATCTTTCTAATTTTTACGTAAGTTTTAAGAAAAAAAAAAGAGAAAAAAGGAAAAGAATATCGAAAAAAAAAAGAAAGAAAAAAAAGAGATTTACATTAGTTTTTCTCTTTTTTTTTTTCTTCTTATTTTGTTACATTTAAGATACAATGATTTATTGTTAATATCAAAACAGACTGGATATTAATTTGTAAGAGTATATATTATTATATTGCACGTTTGAGAGCACTGTGATTCCAATCGATATCGTTATAAAAAATATCGTTTATTTCTTTTATTATTCCAAGGTTATTACCATTGGTATAAAAAACATAAGTATTTACGTGATTTCGTGATGGTTTAACCTATATTTGTCGAGTGATCGAAAAGTGCTATTAGCAGCATTGATCTATATTGGGAAGCCATGCTGCCAACATATTTTTAATGGATACGTCATCGATTTGAAAACAAACAAAAAAACAAAAACAAAAATGTACATTCGTATAGCGATTTTTATTTCTATTTCTTTTTTAATTATTATCATTATTTTTGTTTATTCTATGATTGTCTTGTAAAAGTTTATTTTTTTATTCTTCAAATGACGTACTCGATGCGATACGAATGAAAATTCATGTGTAATAATTTTAATTATTATTTACTTAATATTATTGTGTTTTAATGGTTGTCTTGTATTATATTTTTTTTATTTTTTTTTTTTTTATGATATGTGTTCAAATTATATTTATATATTTGTAGTTTTTTTCTTAATTTTATCTAAATGATACTAAAACTCGAACATAGAGTACAAGGGTAGAAAGACCTAAGTGTTTTTTTTTATTTTTTTTTTTTTTATTACATTTATCAAAATTTCATATTCTTAAAAATGAAAAATTGGAAAAATAAAAATAAAAAACATTCGTTAATTATTAAATAAATAAATATATATATATATGTATACAACATAGACTGTTAAAGTAATTCTGTGAAATTGATCGTAGAAGAGAGAGAGAGAGAGAGAGAGAGAGAGAGAGAGAGAGAGAGAGAGAAAGAGAAAGAGGAAGAGTGGATGTTTCATTAGAATAAAATTTGAATAATAATTAATTTGTTGAGTTTCAAGAAATTTTCCAATTTGGCAAAATAAATAATGCAAAAGTAAGAAAAATAAATATTATATACACATATACATAAACATATACACACATATATATATTTTCTTATAAGATAAAACTAAAAATACATTTTACTTTGTATCAAACGGCAAATTACTGAAATTTAATCATTATCTTTTAAAAATAATCGACCGTTTATGCACATAAGAAAAAAAAAATAATAATATATTTGCTTCTTACTTATCACTCTACAAATTTCATAATTTATTCATTCTTGAGACATCCTGAACCAAGAGAGAGAGAGAGAGAGAGAGAGAGAGAGAGAGAAATAATGAGATTACACAATTCACCTTCACACATTATATCTCATAACACCAAAAATTTGAATGATAAAATATAATAAAAAAAAAAAAAAAAACAACAAAAAAAGAAAGAAAAAAAAACTTACGATAACACCTATTGAGGGTCAAGCGAGTAAATGTCAAAAGTTCGCTAAAAGTCAAATCTGATTCAACAATCTTTGTGTACATTTATAAGCATATACCATCTTTGAAATAAGTCGTAATAAAAAGGAGACAAGTTAATTGCAGTGCGCTTTGCATCCAAAAGATAATTTACCAAGTAACAAGTCAGCGACATTTAATCTCTGAAAGAGAATAAAAGAAGAATGTTTCTCAATCAAAAAGCATAGTTATGGCGTCTCGAAAACCCAACCAATATTTCAATAATAAGAATAAGAAAAAAAGAGGATAATGATATAATTAATAATAATGATAATAACGATAATAATAATGTTAATAATAAATTAACGATAATTAAATAATATTAATGAAAAATAATAATTGTAGTTTTCTAAAAGACGCCGTCTTCCTCTTTTATCTTCGATCAGTAGCGGTCCTGTTGTTACCATTACTGAAAAAAAAAAAAAAAAAACTATTGTTAAATTAATTCTATTATCTGATAGCATTCTATGAACCTCATGCGTGCGTGATGGCGGATAAAAATGAACGAAAATGAGCGAAAGAGAATGAAAGAAAGTAAGAAAGATGAAAGTGTGAAAAATGTGTCAATCGTTTATAGTCATTCATCAATGCAAACAGACCTTAGTTTATAAATATTTATAATAAAATGTAATAATAAATATAGACGAACCTCGAAAGCTGCTGTATTTAAAATGTCTTAAGAGTTTTTTACTTGGGCCACAGTCTTAGTATCCTATTTCTTTTATTCTAATTGTTTTTTTGTTCTTCATTTTTTTTTTTTTTTGATAAATCATAAGCTCGTGTTACCATCAAAATTTCTATAATGTTTTCACAGCGTTTCACGCACACACACATACATATTATTATAAATAATAAGGCTATACTATTTCTATGAAGAAAAATTCTGAAATGTAACACGGTTCGTTGAGTAATGCACATTCTTTACAAATAAGTGAGACATAAAAGTGTATGAAGATAAGTTTTGAAAGATTAACCTCTTAGGCACTAAGCGCCATTATAGTGACTTTCGCGGATGCTATGTTGCAGTACGACGCGCCACTATAGTGGCTTTTGCAGATGACATCTTTTAAAATATATAATACCTAATTGTATTATTAATTATTCAAGTAAATTGTTAAAGTTAAAGTATATGCAATATATTTTAAAGAAAAATTATAATATATTTAATCATTTAATACTTTATTTTAATGTATTCGCGTAGAGAACGGTATTATCTGTTGAACCCTACTGTACAGAGAAACAGCTTCTCGCAAAATTCAGCAGTGTCTCTAAGAGGTTAAATAAGAGATATGGAACAGTAAATTATATCAAATGATCGCGTTACTATAAAACAAAAAATTACAAATACTCCCTGAAGATTTTGTAATTTTGCTATCTTATCGATTAACCAATTTACATGTAAAATCCTGTAATCATTTTTCAATATCCTTTATCCCCATTAAAAAAAAAAGGAAAAGAATATATAAAAGTTTCTTTGTAAAAACTGATGTGTGTTACTACGAACATAAAATATAGCTTTGTATTACTATTGCGTGTTTATTCAGTGCTCGTAAGATTGATAAAGAACAGAACAATATCATGAATTAAAAAAATATAAAAAAATAATTTCTTGTAATTTAATATCTCTGTATAATAATTCAAAATGTGGTAATTAGTAGGAGTAGTATATATATATGTATATTATCAATCTTTTCAAAAAATTGAGAAAAAAAATGTATTTCTAAAAATTCTAATTTGCAAAAGAGTATTTTTCAAATATTCCCAATTATTTTTGATTAATATTATAACAGGAATCTCCACTTAACACGATGACAAATTTAAATGAAGATGATGCAACTTATAAAAGGTAATTTTTAGCGTACCGATATATATATATATATATATATTATACGTTGATTAAATATTGTGAAACATTGATGTTTCTGTTCTTAGTGTATGTGCCTATTAACCTGATCCTTTATCCAAAAAGAGAATTTCTAAAATTGATTATTGAACAAAAAACTTTTGAACTATTAATTTTTTTTTATTATGTAAAATGAAAACGTCTATTTTATCCTTATAAGTTAACAATAGATAGATCATGAATATTTTTCCAAGTAAATTAATTAAATAACATCAATAGTATACAAGTAAATAATAAAAGAAAAAAATAAATGAAATTATGAAGATATGAATTTTGAAGATGCCGCCAAAATGATAGATAAAAATGCACGAAAATATCCCACCTATTACTACGATCCTAAATTAAAAATCTAGAATCTTCTCCCAAGCATTAAAATACTAGATCAAATAAGCGCGCGATAGTTTCTAACAAGATCACAAAGTAGAATGTAAGAAAGTAAGAAAAATCGATGAGTGAGGGAAGTAAAAGAAAAATGCAGAGATCGCATTAAGCCGGTTGAGTTCGAAAATGGCGCCTAAAGGTAAGGTGGCGCTAGTATCATAACGATAATATGTCAATGCGCATGCGTCGATGGCGTTGATTGGTAGACAAGTCGGCACTGTCATATGACGAAGCTGCGTGGCAGTATGGGAAACGGATTGCAATTTTGCAACATGGCGGTGAAGTGAGGCAAAGTCGAGGTGCCGTGCCCACGTAAAATGTATAGTTCGTAGTTTGAGAAGGTTCATTATCGTGTAATTAATTGACGCGTAGAAGTAACACGTGTCCAAGCATCGTTACATGGTGGATATTAAATGTAAATATGTACGAAAGGAGACGTAAAATCAATTGGAAGGTGACACCCCGTGACTACTTGAAGTCTCGGAGCACGTATGGCAGATATTAGAATACGAGATAAGAGAGGAAAGGTTTCGTCCGAACGGCGAGGAAACTATATCAAATTATCAAGAAATCATCAGAGATGTTTTGGCCGTTCATCTCGAACTGTGAAAACGTGAGTGGATCATGAAAAATGGTTGACGAATTCAGTAGTAACAGCGCTGGCCGCTGCTTCACTTCGGCTCATTCGTTACTGCTTTATGCCCATAGTGGTGCGCTGGTGGATGCTGGTGGTGGTGGTGTCGTCCTCATCGTGGGTGCGTATTTCGGTAGCCACGGGAGCCACCGACAATGCGTGCCTTTCCCCCTATTGTGTTTCCAACTCTTCTTCTTCTTCCGTGCCTCTCACGTTTATCCTACGATAGCTCCTTCTCTCTCTTTCTCTCACTCTCTCTTTCTCTCCTCTCTTGTTCTCTCTTTCTTTCTCTCACTCTCACTCTCTATCTCTCTTGTTCACTCTCTCTCTCTCTCTCTCTCTCTCCCATTTTCTCCCTCTGTTTCTCACACTCTCACGAGAAGCCGTCCCTTTGATCCACGGATAACCTCGACCCGCCGTCGTACGCCGTTTTAACCTCTGACCCTATGCGCCAGACCCGTTCCCGGTCACCGAAAACGCGATTTACAAATGGTTCCGATCGACCACCACCATTCAACCGAACCAACGCTCGCTACAACCAACAGATTATCTTCGATTGTTTTTATTTTTTTTTTTTTATTTTTTTTTTCTTTTCTTTTTAACTTCTCCTTGAAAGAAACACAGAAATATTTTTCTTTGCTTTTATTATGTTGACGGTGTACTTTTAAACAAGCAGAGTATTTAGTGCTGCTGCTTCTTTGTGCTAACGAGAAAAGCGTTATCTTCTTATTCGTGTAAACGTCATAGTTTTCATCTTCGTCATCTTCATCGTCAGAAAATAAACGAAATTGTGTGATAGTTTAACGTATCATTCATTCAAACTTTTGCTAGTTGTGTTGACTTGACAAACAGTATTTCGTTTGTTTATGATTTATCTTTTAACTTTATTTAATTCTTAATTGTTTTACCGATATCCGAAATGGTGTTTTCTGGTCGGTGTCGGTAAATGTCGAGTCAGCTATGCTCCAAAAATACCACATGTTACAGTATTCTAAAAGCATCGCACGTGCGGCACCTCGGTGCATCTCGTGAGATTTATTAAAATTTTCTAAGTTATGCTCCCTAAAGAAATTTAATCTTTCACAAATGATTGTATATTTTAGTGATGTGATTGTGAGAATGAATGCTTTACTTTTAATTCATCTCTATAAATCTTATCATAGTTGTTTTTTCATTTGTTACTTGGCACTGCATATTATTCTAAGCTCTATAAAGTTTTTATCAAGCAGCTTATTGCAACCCAACTGTCTGAAAATTAAAGCATTTTATCTACAAAATGAGACTTTAATGTCACATTAATATTGATCAGAACATTAGCACATAATCTGATAACGTTTTATAGTTATTTTTATATATACTTTTTGATTGTAGTTTTATATGTTAAAGTTTCTCAATAAAATGTACTACGTACTAATATAAAAGTTCATGTTGACATATTCGGCTGCCATGTGTTTTCTATATAGTCGTCAAAGAATGAGGTCACAGCTGCATCCAAATAAACTCATTTACATACAATGCTACTACTTTAAAGTAGTTTGTCGTATGTTTTTAGATTCAATCATTAATTTTCTAATTATATTTTCAATGTAATCATTGGTTGCATATAAAATTGTTCTTTGGTAACTATCATGATATTACAATACAATGTAACATTAGGAATTTTATTTTTATTACATTTTTCTATTAATTATGTAATTATACTCATTTTTTTTTCTATGTTACAGGCTTATACGAGAAGTAGAAACCTTCCTTGTAACTACAAGTTTTGATCGTGTATACGTGCCAAATATAAGGTTATAAAAGCTTGAAGGCATGAAAAGACCCAATGGTTTCCTGACATGATGGATAGCAAAGTCTTTATTAAAACTGAGCCGGGACTCGAAGGGCAATCACTCCCAACTCCACAACCAAATCCACTCACCGATGACACCGGTGGGACAAAGATATGTTTTGTCTGTGGTTCTATAGGGCATGCTGATCAATATTGGCTGAGAGTGAAACCAAGTCCTGGCTCAAATGAACCATACTTTCCATTTCTCGAAGCCCATGAACCACCAGCTGGATATTCCGGTGATGGATCAAGAAGCGGAGCAGTCAAAGCATGCAATCTTTGTTACGCTTTGCTCTTGCAACAATGGGAAGGTTTTGAGCAAGAGGGTAGGCTCCATAGTGAAAGACTTTATTGGTTGAAAAGATGCGATGGTGGGCCTTTTACTGGTGCAGAAATGGCTCTTCAGGGTGAATATGCGGCTCAAGTTTTGGGGTTAACTAATGATCAGGCACCACAAATGAAACAAGAAAATCGGCCAGTGGGTGCTTCTCCACGGCTTCCACCTAGTTCACTATCACCCAGGGTGGAACAAACAAGACCACCATCGAATTCAGTTGAATTATCGAGACCCCATTCTAATATGGCAGAAACACCAAGGCATTTAGAACAAGCAAGGCTCACTATGGAATCCCCACATCAGAGACTGCAGTCTCCTCATCAAAGGTTGCAAAGCCCCCGACAACCTGTTGAAGATGTTAAAATGTCTGAAGCTGCACTAGATTTAAGACATGGACCTAGGAGTTCACCTGCACCTACAGCTGCTTTAACTCCTCAATCCCAAGGTAAATAATACTACAATAATAATATCTCATTTATACTTTTCTTAAAATTGATTAGTACGACATTAAAGAAAAATTAATTACGATTATTTCAAATTTCTGTAACATTAACACTTTTGTATTCATTTATAGTCGGAATTTAACAATTGACTATATTAGCTGGTAAAATTAGATTGGATTCCTAATAATGGGAGTGCCTGATTGAATTATTATCATACGAACTAAACTACACTTTCTGAAATAACTTCGACGTGAGATCATGACGCGATATCTGATACGAATAAATGCCGCTTTTCACGTCTGAAGCAGTTATCTCCTTTTAGAATGTAGTTGTAGCAAATAAGCGAATGTATTCGTTATTTACATTGGCCTTAGCCCTTCCGTTTAGTAATGTAAACGTTTTGTAAGTAAAGGTTAACAGTTTTATAGATAACACTAAGAAAATCATTTCTCGCGAATAATTCTTATTATTAACTTATGCACGACCGATATACATGCATTAAGTTATTTCTTTGAAAGCATTAATTGGCTTGATTTTTTTTTGTTTCTTTGTTTTTATTTTCTTTTTTTATTTATTTTTTTTTTTTTTTTAATTTTTTATCCTTCTTCTTTTTCATCTTTTATTTCTATTTGAAATAAATATTTTCTCATTGCATAATCGCAACGAGATGGAAATAAATCTCATAACATAACTTGATTCAGTTGTAGAAAAATAATAAGTCTTAATGAATCTCTTAGTCGAACGCATATATTGATAATGTTTGCAAAAATATAAACATAAACTAGGCCACGTGCGGTATGATAATAACGTCTCAAACATATAAGGCATTGGAAATAAAACAGGAATGTTATGTTTATTATCGTTCATAACGTGTTCAGCCATCTACAGCGGTGGATCCTCATCCAGTATTGGTACTGATATTTTGGATTTATCAATGCCGGACAAAAATTCAGTAACAGAAGTGTGCTACATTTGTGGGGATGAATTTAAAAGAGGATCATTAAGTCACATCGCGGCAAAACCACTGCCAAATGTACCAAAACCTTCCGAAAGTCCTCCACCATTTTTTCCATCATTGATGCTTCATCCGAGGCCAAGTAGGAGTCGACCTATGGACAGTGCTGGTCGAGTACAGGTACATATATATATCTTTTAAATATTGACTGCATACTTAATTACTTTACATCATTCCTTGCATACCGTTCATATTTTTCTCTTTCTTTTTTTTTAGGCATGCTCAGCATGTCAAAATCATCTTTTAGTACAATGGAAGACATATATGCGGCAGGGGATACCACACGGCGATCGGAATTATACGCTTCGTAAACGAGCAACGCCCATGATGGACACTACTACTTTTATCTGTTATACGTGCGCTCTCGAGTACCCTTCATCCAGTATTAGACTGCTCTACTGCTGTTCTAATCCCGAAAAAGAAGCATACTTTCCTTTTATCTACAGCCTGAGACCCCCACCCGGAGCTAGTCCTATTAGTCCTCAGGGAATGGTACAAGTTTGTTCTATTTGTTACAAGGCTATTCCGCAAAAGCAACAAGTATTTGGCGGAGAGAACCATGAGGTACATCCTGTCGGACAAAGTATGGATTATCGACTGCAAGGTAACAGTTACGTAACAAACTAAGTCTATCTCTTACATGTTTGTATATATATGTATATATATATATATATATATTTACTCACAACGTACGTACGACGTTATCTTTATCTTTGTATTATTTTTTTATTTTAAACCATATTGTTTTTTTCTTACGCAAGGTCTTTTGCCACGTCCAGCCATTGCAAAATCACCAGCCAATTCCGCTGGCAGTGATATTCGGTTTAAACCATACGATTTGAACAAATCGACTGCTGCCACGAACAAGCAACGCACCGTAAACCTTAAAGCTCCTACTCTCGGCCAACGAAATTCTCCTAGTAATGGTCCCGCTGAAAACGGTACTGTGCTTGGCCAAAATTATAGGTGCTATATTTGCGAAAGATTATGTTCTCACACACATATGGAATGGTAAGTTTTCATATATCACGTTATTAATGTTAGTGTCGTAAATTTTGTATTGTTATCTACATTACAATGATTTGTTTTTCTTTTATTAACACCAGGTTGTCTACGAGTCCAGAGGGAATGAATTCACACGCTATGCATTTTCCGTGTTTAAGAGGGATGGCACGTACTTCCGAGAACGCTTGCATGGATAGCCATGGAAGAGTATTAGCTTGTAGTCATTGTGTGACTCACTTAACGCTTCAATGGGAAAGTATGGATGCAGATCGCGTTCCTTTAGAACGCCGCAGGTGCGTTTAAATTTAACTTCGTTCGTTTGTAACAATATATGTTGTATATATTTTTCTCGATCTTTAAACATTTCTTTTTTTTTTCTTTTCAGGTATGATATTCCTAGTCCACATCCAAACGGTGATGTGAACCGCTCAATTGCCACTCCACCGAGTACGAGTTCGGATCGGACATTCGGTAGTAATCCTGGTACATCGAGCAGCTCGATCTATTGTTTCCTATGCGGTTTACACAGCGATTTAACGCTCGCGAGAGTTTTGTACGGGCATCCTCAGGGTCGCAACGCCCCATACTTTCCTGAATTATTGCGTCACAACTCGCCGCCAAATGCGGAACAACTCAGGGATGATGGTTCCGCTTTGGTCTGCACTTTCTGTTATCATACCCTTCTTGCGCAATGGCGTAGATACGAATCTCAGCAAATCGTTGGTAGACAGTACAACACTCATGATTATTGTTGCTACGTTTGCGGTATTACGACCTACAGAAAACGCATTCGAGCATTGCCCGTTAAGGATTTCCCATTCTTAAGGTATCACAAACAACCGGAAAAAAGTTTGCTATTGGAGAACGGTGACTTCGCTGTGGTTTGTCTAGATTGTTACGAAACTTTACGTACGCAAAGTCTCGAATACGAAAGATGGGGTTTGCCAATAGAAAAAAGAGAATACAATTGGATCGTACAACCTCCTCCGCCTGAAGATAGTCCTGACGCTTCCATCGCTAGATTACCCTCTGGGGAGAGATCTGAGAAGGTGGTGAGTCTTTACTTTCTATATTTTTTTTTTCTGTTTCATTAACGATACGTTTGATTATTAAACGAAATATAAGAATTTCTATAATTTTTATTGTTGACATTTGCCTAGGTTCCTCAAACTTTGACTGTCAGACCGGCACGAAAAAACTGTTCACCAAAGGCACCGGACAAAAAGATTCCTGCCAAGGCTCCGGATAAGGATCAAGGTAAGTTATTATAAATATTATTTTGTAAACAATCTAAAATGATACGAAGAGTGATGATAAAAACAAAATTTGAACCAGGAAAGGCAGAAGATTAATTTCATCGTAATTTTTATATTATTTTTACATCGTAAGAACCTTCTTGGGTTTTTCGATGTTATCCAACTATAATTTAACGTTATCTATATTCGATTTTTCGTCCTTTTATTTGTTCAAAATATTATATGCATTTTTATCTACTTTTAATAAGACAAATTACAATTCTACGATCTATAAATTAGAAATATTATTTTATTCAATATGATCGATATTGTAACTTGTACATGTCATCGATGGACACACTGTCAACATTATTTAGAAAACAAATGTTCAGTTTTGAATATAAACCATTTTTTAGACATCGTTTTGTAAAAATTTTCTCAATCAAGACGAAAAGAAAGATGGTAGAAAAATGTGAAAATACTTCTTGCTTGGTCGATGCTGAAACAACAGCCGACACTCTCTCTCTTTCTCACTCTCTTTCCTTATTCTCATTCTCCTCGGTTCTTCGCGCTTTTTAAGGGGGTTGTAAGTGTATATACATATATATATATATATATACCTGTGTAACTCTATAGATACACCTACTCGTAGAAAGATACATGGATGTCGATGAGGCCGAGGGTAAGAGGTAGAGATAAAGAGAGAGAGAGATAGAGAGAGAGAGAGAACGAGACAGAGAGGGTGAGTGGATGAGACGTGAGTGAAGCTCTTAAAAATCCGACAGACAAAAGGATACTGACGGTCGAGAGCCATCCAGGAGTAGTAGAAGGGCCTGATGGTTTGCGTTCGAGTGAATTCACTACCTCTTTTTTTTTTTACCTTCTTTCCTCTATATTTTCTTCTTTCCTTTATCTTTTCTTTTGCTTACCTCAACCCTCTTCTCTCCTCCTCATCCTTAACTCATACCCACAAAATCTTTCCTTTCTTTCTTTTTCTTCATTTTTGTTCTCTTTCCTTTTTGTTTTTGTTATTCTTGTCCCAATGTTTTTTCTTACCTAACATTGTTTTTTCGCTGGAGGTTACGATCGGTTTTCTAGTTTGTTGATAGTATCAACAATATGAAAAACAATATAATAAGTTTCTCCCCTTTATGCTAATATGAAAAAAGGAAGTTAACTAAAAATTATTCAATGCATAAATGTATCATTACTTTATTTTTTAACGATTAATAAAAGAGATATTAGAAGATTACTGTGTATATAGTACGTGATTTATTTTTTAGGGAGAGGGTTTGGTTAGGGGTCTAACATTTCCGTAGCATTAGACCAAATGGATCGGACAGGAGATACCTTTATCAAGGTTAAGACTGTATAAGAGTATTGTAGGATTGAGGAAGATGTTTGGATCTCATTAAGCTTTCATAAGGGTTCCTTGTTTCCAACCACTTTGCTTGGAGTTCCGGCTATTTGTATGATTTCCTCGAAACCCTCTAGAAAAAACAACCTTTACTTCGATATTTTCAGATACTATACGATTTTATTCAGGGTAACTTTTTATTTTTTTATATTTTTTATTTTGATAGATTTATTACATCGTTATTTATTATTATTTTTATTTTTATTATTGTTAAAAGTTAGATATATTTTTTGTTGTTATTATAAGATGAATTGGTAGATCAACTTCACTACAATTTTATTTTTTACAACCTAACTTTTTATTATTCTTTCCTAACTTTTTTTTTTATTGTTGTTGAGCGTAATAAAGATAAAAAGGAAGGAAGTTACAAACGGGTGCTTCTCCGAAACACGTCAAGGCCGTCAAGGATAACTTGAAGGTTTTATCCGCCGAAGCTTCTTGTGTATGCATATAGTATGTATATAATGTATATATATATATATTTCTTAAGAAAACAAACCCGAAGGCATCGTGACTGGCGTCTGGTTTCGTTAAGGTTTATTCCGTAACGTTTGGAGTTTCCTGGTTTTTTTCCTTTTTTCTTTTGTGTTCTTCTTTTACTTTCTTCTCTTTTTAACCCTTTCTTTTTCTTTTGGCTTATCGGCAAACGAAAAAGCCCTGCAAACCCGTAACTTTGCACCAAGTTCATTACTTTTAACGTGCACCCGTTGCACCCTAAAAATCTTGCATTTGAAGTCATAAAACAACATTTGCTTTAGAAGAACGTTTATTAATAGTCGAGTCATTTCTTACGAAGATAACCAAAATAGGTTGGCAAAGATTCGCCATGATGTAGGACTATTTTTTTTTCTTTTTTTATTACCTTACCCTATATCTCGTATTATAATAATCACGCATACTTGTATTAGAAATTCATATGTTTCATTTTCTTCAGGTGATCCTAAAAAAATAAACAAAAATTGATTTATTTTAATTTCATATTTTTTATCTTTTTTTCTTTATATAAATAATTTCATTCGTTTAATAATAAATTCCAAATGGTATGGTTAAACCACTACCACCACCACCACCACTCTATAATATTCCATTTGTTTTAATATACCCAGCAGAGAACTCTTGGGTTCTTGTAAATACGTGACGTTTATGCTGGGACTTATCCATGATGATATTATTCTCTCTTGGGACGTTTAAGTTTCGTTCGATTATATCTTTCTCTTGCTATTTCGTAAAACCTCATGGAAACAGGATTACACGCGCCAGGAAATATATACTGGATTCACTTTCGAAAGAAAGAGTGAGATAATCGATACATACACATACACACATATATATTATCATTCGATTTATTTCCTACTAGAAGAAGATTTACAAATCAGATTGGATTATCTATTCCATCTTTTAATTTTTATCATTTTTTTTTTGTGTTCTCTTCTTCCAACGATATCTCTAACCAAGTATCTCGCACCAATTATATTCATTTCCTGTTGAGTTATATCTATATATTTTACACTTCCTTCTAGATTTCGATCGTATATTACTTCCACGATTATCCAATAAGGAAAACGGAATGATAATTGATACGATTCTTTTATAAATAGAAGAGAAAAAAAGAAGATCATTTAATTTCCTTTATTAAATGTTGCATAACGATGCAATAAATCCTAAGAGTTTATCATTACCATAAAATTCTAGTAGAAATATATATAGATATATAGATAGATAGATAGAGGAATGGGAAGTGAGTAAAGGATTGAAAAGGAAGGATCAAGATCAGGAGGTTGATCAGGGTCAATCGGTTCGACTTGGAGAGAGGAGGTAGAAAGTGATGTCGAAGGTGTCGAAGAGACTTAGCAGAGGGCTTAAGCGGGAGGATCGAACCGCTACACTGCTGGCAGCTTATAGGACGTGAGAAGGGTGGTAGGAAAGCTCTTGGAGGAAAGTACGGAACATGTTGAAACGAGGGGTTGAGAGAATGAGCAAGAGGAGGAGAACAGAACTGAACTGAACAGAAGAGAAGAGAAGAGAAGAGGGTGGTGTTGAGAGATGAAGGGGGTTAGAGGCACCCGCAGCGTGACACCGCATTGCGCCCACTTGCCAACCCCGGCCGACGCCTAAATTCGAATTAGCGAGCCAACTCCGCGGATTCTCGTCAGCTAACCCTCCTTTTGTGGCACCCCCTACTAGTAGGACATCGTTTCTCCCTCTACCTATCTCTCTCATTTTTTTTCTTTCTCTTACTCTGTATGTTCTGAGTAGAGAGAGGTTAAAGTAGCAGCAGTAGCAGCACCAGCAGCTAGTAGTAGACTAGTAGTAGTAGTAGTAGTAGTCGTTTTACTCCTCCCTTAGGAATCGATATCAACGTCATCGAGTACCTAGCCTCGCTCCTTCTACCCTCGTTTGAAGCTTCCTATTGGGGTGATACTAGGGAAGGGGTTCCTCCTACATCCCACTCTCTCTTTCTCTTTTCTTCCTTCCTTGCTTCTTCCCTACCACCTTCCATCCCCCTGTTTCGTTCTGATAGCGTCATCTCTTCTTGTACTCTACTCTACCGTCTTCGCGTTTACCTCTTCCTTTCCAGGCACGCTGCCAAAAGGCTCGATTTCGACGTAGATTCTCGTTCAATTCGTAGTTCTCTTATACCTTTTGGAGAAAAGGCTCTCTCTCTTGATCATCGTACCTGAGACACGCTAAACTTTCAGAAGAACGCATTTATTCGCTGAGTAATCTTATTTTAATGGATTCTATTTTTCCTACGGTTAGTTCCGTTGCTAAAAAAAAAAAAATAAATAAGACATATATTTTTGATAATTTAATTAACGTTGATTTTCATTTGTTTAAACAAATATGACACTTCTTCCGACGATGACAAATTTGTGAATCAATTTTGTTGTACTCTTTTAAGTAATGTTTGTTTAATGTGTAAGGAACATATTCATCTACTAAACCAGTAGTCAGTAGTATACAATGTATTTAACATGAAACACAAAGAGAGTGAGATAGTAGTAGTAGTAGTAGTCGTGAGCTCAGTTGCTGGGTTTCGTGTTAATAATTAACCACCTACTACCGTTCCGGAGTAGTAGCTTTTACAAGGATATCCCTCGCGATAGTAGTCTCCACGGATCGTTTCACTCGGGACACGAACTTGGAGTTAGGCGTTCCCGTTTTCTCCTTGTTCGTCGTACCAACAGGAAAACGGGATGATTCGTGACCGTGAACGTCACGAATAACGACGACGACGACGACTAAGTGTTAACCCTCGAGGGTATTAATGAAATATTAAATACAAAGTACACATACTCACATACTGTTTATATAGTAGTAGTAGTAGGTTTATCGATATTTCATATGTATTATTTAATGGGGATTTCTGTTAGGGAGAAAAAAAGTCGTATGAGAAAAATCTCATTGAAAATTTTATTCCTCACCCCCTTTTGTTCGTTGTTTCTCTCTCTCTTTCTCTTTCGAGTATTCGTCGACGTAGAAATTTCATTATCACGCTCGCACTGTCCTCGACATTTTTTCCTATAATTAAACGCATCTCGCGAGTCCTGGTAATTCCGTATACCCCAGGTTGAAAATAATGGAAATAACGTGGGATGCGTTAG